TAGTTTTTATCTCTATTTTTGTACTTTATTTTTATTTTACATTTCATCTCTTTACTAAAATCTAGTAGGAAATATTTTACAGTTTATTTTACTTTATAAGGATCAAACTTTTCTACAAAATGAAAATTTACATTATTTTTGCTAAAATATGCAAGTGCAAATTTTAAATTGTTTATAATTTGTTAGTTCAACTTGAATTGTTTATTTTATGTTACATTAAAATTATTAATTTACTTTATAAGCTCTTTTCTCTTATAAATTTGTACTAGTTTAGCTTAAGTCATAGCTCTTTATCTGTAAATTAGCGACTTTTTTCGTTACATATTTTAGATTTTTCCCAATTTCTAGAGTCTAGAAGGTTTCTAAACTGGGTAAATACATTTTTAGTTAAAGTAACAAAGGTGAAATTCTTTGAAATAATTTTTTTAAATTGAATAGATAAATTGTTAATATATTTACTTAAAGTAAGTAGTCTTTGTTAAATATTTTAAATTTTTTGTTCAACTTTCTTTTATAGGAAAAAGGGATGTTGACTGCAACTTTTTAAAGTTCTTTTTGTGATAGCATTATGAATTTAATGTAAAAAAAGGCATCGGACAAATCTTACTTGTCGGTATTAACATTATTTTTTTTGAACCCGCTTGCTTGAAATCCTGGGTCCGCCACTGATGATGAACTCAGAGGTGATATTATTGTCTTTGAAAAGACTCACTTTAATAGACGAGTGCAAGAAGAAAAAAAGAAAACCGCTGCGTTTAAAACAACATTGCCTGAGTCATCATCATCATCATCATCATCATCATCAGAAGAAGAATCAGAGGAAGAAGAAGAAGAAGAAGAAGAGGAGGAGGAGGAGAACATAGCTATGCTCTCCAAAGTAGTATCAAGCATGTTGAGAAGAAACCGAAATAGCAGAAGAGGCAAAACAAACTTCAGGAATGGAAAAAACCAGTGAATGAAAACGACAAGAATGATGGAAGATGCTATGAATGTGGAAAACATGGTCATATTCAAGCAGAATGCCCTGAACTGAAAAAAAAACTCAACAGAAATTATCAAAAGAAGAAATTGTTTGGAGCATGGAACGATGAAGAAGGATCTGATCCTGAGGAGATACCCAATATGTGTTTCATGGCGATCAGAGATGACGAAAAATTCGACCACGAGGAAGTAAATGAAGGAACAAGTGAGGTACGCTCACCTATGTGTCCTAAATGAAATGAACTTCAAGAATTTATTGATATTGATCTTGCAGATATTGAAAAAGTTCTACACGAACTTTGAAAGATTCAACGAGAAAAGAAAGGATGGGAACTAAAACTAGAAGTATGTGAAATTAAAAGAGACATGCTTCAAGAAGAAGTTCGTGAACTTCAATTACAACTGAATGGATTATAAAAATCCACTAACCATAGTTCTATAAAATCATACCATTCAACTCCTCATAGAACATATTTGTGGCAAACAATTCTTCATCATGCATTCGCTCAGTTTAGAGATGAAAGGGAAAAAATCCCTTAGAATTTTAATGGTCCCTCTTGCTTTTATTGTGGAAAGTCTGGTCATATATCTAATCATTGTAGGTTTAGGAACAATAGAAGCTGGGTTTGGCGACCTAAGGCATCAAATCTAGCAAACAACCAGAAAACTAACTAATGAGAACCCAAGCAAGCTTGGGTACCTAAAAATAAGTACATTTTTGATGTAGGAACATCACAAAAAGAATTGAAGAGGAAAATGGTATCTTGATAGCGCGTGTTCCAGCACATGATAGGTGACAAACAAATTTTCAAAACAATCACTAAACTTGATGGTGGGTCAGTCACCTTTGGAGACAAATCAAAAGGGAATGTAATTGGTATTGAAAAAGTCCCCCTCAACTCATCTTACAATGTGGAAAAAGTCTACCTTGTGGATGAACCTGGATACAACATGCTCAACATTAACCAGCTATGTGTCAATGATTATGCAGTTCGTTTTATAAAGAAAGGGTAAATCATTGAAGACGAATCAAGTAAAACCATTCTATATGAAAGTAGAGATAGTAATGTATACACCCTTTGTAATATTGATATCATGTCAAATCAACTCCATCTAGTCTCTATAAATGGTGATCCTTGGGTATGACATAGAAATATTGGTCACGCTAGCATGCATACTATTCAAAAATTTTCTAAATAGGATCTCGTCACTGGTCTTCCAAAATTAGACTTTTCAAAAGATCATATTTGTGATGCATGTCAATTAGGTAAACTAACCAGATCTTTTTTCAAAATCAAAGACATTGTTTCTACTACAAAACCTATTCAACAGTTGCACATAGATCTCTTTGGCCCAACCAGGACTGCTAGCATTGGTGGTAGAAAATGTACTTTTGTTAAATTAGATGATTTTTCTCGATTTACCTGGGTTATTTTCTTGAGTCATAAAGATGAAGCATTGAAGAATTTTGAAGTCTTCTGCAAAAAGGTTCAGCGAGAAAGAGGATATTATATCTCTTCCATAAGAAGTGATCATAGAGGAGATTTGAAAGCAAAGTATTAGAAAATTTCAGCAATAACCAGGGAATCTCCCACAACTTCTCATCCCCCGGATAACCACAATAAAATGGAGTAGTGGAATAGAAAAATAGAACTCTTCAAGATATGACAAGAACTATGATTGTAGAAAACTCACTTACACACCACTTCTTTGCAGAAGCAATAAGGATTGCATGCCATATTATCAACAGGTGTGTAATAAGACCTATTCTCAGAAAGACTCCCTATGAGCTGTGAAAAAGTAAACGACCCAGCATTAGTTAATTTCACTCATTTGGATGCAAATGCTTTATTCACAATAACAGAAAGGACAACCTCGGTAAGTTTGATCCAAAAAGTGACGAACATATTTTTCTCGGATACTCTCTGTCAAGTAGAGCATATAGAGTTTACAATAAACGAACCTTATCTATTGAAAGATATGTTCATGTTGTGTTTATTGATACTAACCCCTCTTCGAGGAATGAGAAACTTCTTGATGATGAGGAAATTACTATAGTTCTAAAATCTGTTCAAGCAATTGAGGACACTAATGAAGGAGTCGCTGATCAACAACATCATTCGACTGACAGTCACATGGAAATCAGGAATCACATACACCTGAACCATCAATTCCTATTGAAAAGGAAACAACTACAATTGTACCAAATGAATGAAAAAGTGAACCTAGATATCCCTATAAATTTATCATTGTTGTTCCTCAAGAAGGCATGAAAACTAGAAGATCGCAAAAGCAGACTTCAAATATTGCTCTCATCTCATAGTTTGAACTAAAAAGGTAGATGAGGCCCTTGGAGATGACTGCTGGATAAGTGCATTGCAAGAGGAACTTGATCAATTAAAAAAAAGGTATGGGAGCTTATTCCTAAACCTCCTAATGCATCCATTGTTGGAACAAAATGGGTCTACAGGAATAAGCTAAATGAGTCCGGCTAAGTAGTAAGAAATAAATCCCGATTGGTCGCTCGAGAATACTCTCAAAAAGAAGGAATTGATTATGAAGATATATTTTCTCCAGTTGCCAGCTAGAATCAATTATTATTCTACTAGATTATGCTACTCACAAGTACTTTAGATTATTTTAGATGGATGTAAAAAGTGCATTCTTAAATGGATTTATATCTAAGGAAGTATGAAAGTCAAGAAACCCACATGGTTTGTAAATGAGCCTTTTCCGAACCATGTCTACAAGTTCTCTAAAGCTCTATTTGGGCTTAAATAAGCTCCTAGAGAATGGTATGAAAGGCTAAGCTCTTTCTTAGTCAATCATGGCTTTAATCGAAGTAATATTGACACCACTCTTTTCATTAAACATTCAGACAAAGGTAATTTGATTGTAAAAATTTACGTTGATGATATTATTTTTGGAAGTACTAACTCAGAATTATGCAAAGACGTTTCAAATATCATGAAAGGATAATTTTAGATGAACATGATGGGAGAATTCACAATCTTCCTTAGGCTGCAAATCAAGCAATCCCAAAAAGGGATCTTTAATCAACCAAACAAAGTACACAAAAGAGCTTATAAGAAGTTTGGTATGTCCGATACCAAAGATATAGGGACTCACATGAGTCTGTCAACCATCATTGATGAAGAGATAAATGGTACGAGTGTTGATGAAATAATGTATTGAGGTATGATTGGATATTTACTTTATCTTATTGCAAGTCGACCAGATATTATGTTCAGCATTTGTAAGTCGCAAGGTATCATTCAGCTCCCAAAGAGTTTCATTTAACTCTTGTTAAACGAATTATTAAATATCTGATAGGAACAGTCGACTATGGACTATGGTATGAAAGATTAAATATTTTTTTATCTTAAAGGTTTCTCAGATGCAGATGTTGTAGGTGACAATTGACAGAAAAAGTACAAGGGGAACTTGTCAGTTGCTGGAAAAATCACTTATTTCCTGGCATAGCAAGAAACAAAATTATGTTGTATTGTCTACTAGTGAAGTAGAATATCTGGTTGTATGCAACTGTTGTACACAAATTCTATGGATTATGCATCAACTTTTAGATTATGATTTCCATCTCAAATTGTTCAAATTATGTGTGACAATACTAGTGCTATTTGTCTTTCTAAAAATTATGTGTATCATTCTAGAGCTAAATGCGTTGAAATCAAGCATCATTTTATTCGTGATCATTTTGCAAAAGGTGATATTTTGTTTTTATTCGTTAACACTGAAAATTAGCTTGCCGATATTTTTACAAAACCTCTGCTTGAAGAAAGATTTTGTTCCTTTTGCGATAAAATAGGTATATTTTCAATTTCCTTATAATTATCATTAGTTCCATATTTGTTTCGAAATTCTTTTACAATGTTTTAAAATTTCCGCCCAAAATATCTTTTATTGATTTGTTTACTCTTTGCATGCATTAATTATGAGATTGACGATGTGTCTCTAGAAGGCAACTTTTCAGTTGTCTTTCACACGTCTCTCTCTAATTGAGGCAAATTTTCATCACCCAGCTCTCTTTATTAGACACCCCCTCGTTCATATCTTACTCACACACACTCTCAGAAACCCTGTTTTCTTCTCATGGCTAAATTCAAACCCTCTCCATCTTTCCCGATGCCTCGAAGAAGTCACCAGTTAAAACAAAATTACCCACAGTGATGAACATGTTGACATTGAATCGTCGAAGGGCTCAGATCATCAAGTGTTTTGAAGAAGAATCTAGTAATTCTCTAGAAGAAATTCTCATTACTCAAAAAAGGACCAGCAAACGACTAATGGAGTCGAATCTCAAACAATCATCACAGAAGAAAGGGAAAATCAAAAGCATGGATTTAGGCCCCGAGGACAAGATGAACTTCTATGGTCCTGAGGAGAAGTCCTAATTGGTTGCCTACAAAGGGAAGTCGATTTCTTATGGATGCACTGTAAGTTTAAAATCTATGAAGAATTCTCATTGTGATGTTGTCTCTGTGTTTGAAACTCAAAAACTCTTATCTCTATTTGCTATTGTTGGTGATACCATTTATGAAAATCTTGTGCGTATGTTATATGCAAACTTGTTTGTGGATGACAAAGATGATTTGGAATTTATGGTTCTTGGGACTTGCATCATTCTTGATTATTATCAGTTTGAAAATATCTTTTCAACTAAGTTTCTTGGGTATAGTTTCTTTGTACAACATTCGTGGCCTGATGATATTAAAGTATCTTTTGAGGATGCAAAAAGTGTTCTATCTAAAAATCCCCTGATATAGGTCGCAAGAACCTAAACTTTTGAGCATTCTGTGTTAGCCCACATTATTGTTACCACCCTCCTACCTTGCATTGGGTCCCTTAGCACCTTGTCTAACGTGTTTGTTTTGTACTGTCTTATTAATGGAAAAAGCTATTGATTGATTCACCTGGATACGTCAATTCATGCTTGAGAGTATTAGGGATGTCTCTTCCTCTGCGAACAGTTTGTCCTATGGCCTACTAATCTCTCATATTTTGCAAGTGATGAAAGTGGATTTATCTCCCTTTTCCCCTAAGATCTTCTCTAGCACTTATGACAAAACAACAATTGCTATGATGGGGTACACCTTAGTTAAAGGGACTTTGGTCAAGAAAGACAAACCCCCAGAATCTACAACCCCAACATAACAGGGTACTTGAGGAATTATGTCTGAAGTCAAACAATCTTCATCCTCAGATCAGTTGTTGCTAATGCATCAAAATATTGTAAGTATCAAGGATTTGCTAACCACTATGCAGGAACAAGTAGGCAAAATTAGGGAAGTAACAAAGGAAACTGGAGCAGATGTGGCTAGATTAAGAATCAATCTTCAGACCACAAAAAGACAAAGGATCAGGGCTATGTAGGATGTCACTGATCGTTTGATTAAAGTCACCAAGGAGATTGATGCCTCTTATGACAATTTCTACACCAAAGCGATCAACATTCTAAAGTATTTCCTTGGAAGGAATTGTTGTCTGGGATGTTTCAACTATGACTACTTGGTTGTATATATAAGTACTACATGATGGTTATTTTATGTCATTATCTATCATTTTCTATGTATCTTCTCTTGTTATTTTTTATTGATATCAAAGGGGGAGAAGAAAAAGAGTATAAAGACAGGGGGGCTAGATAGGGGGAGGATGAAGACGAGGGAGCACAGCATATAAAAGGATACAATGTGAAGGAAAACATTACAAAATCCTTGAAACTCTTTTGTTTATTGTCAAAAAAGTGGGAGATTGTTAGGTTTCGAATTTCAACGATGACTCAAAACAAAAGTTAAACACTCTCTACTAATGTATCTACCACGTGTGTAGGCTAACTATTCAAATCACAAGAAGGAAAGTGCATCAAGGTAGGAAAGAAACAAAGGAAGGTACAACCACAACTATCACATTCAAATCCTTCTATCAAGTGCGTACATCAGGAAAATAAAGAAGGAAAGTGAATCAATCAATATGCAAAATAGACAAAAGACTATCAAGGAAGGAAAGGGAATCAATAAATTGTGCAAAATCAACGAAAGACTCAACTTCAGTGATTGGCCCTGCTTAATATTAACTAAGGATGAATCTGGCCCTGCTTCGTGTGCTGTATTCAAGAGGCAACCCTTGGGTCCTACTCTTAGAATACATTGACTCAAAAGGAAAATTATTTAATCAACGATTTTCCAAAATCTTACAGAAAGGAACCAACAACTTCATCAAGCTCTATATAAGAAGAGAAGAAAGGACTTGGGATTTTACGCAACTTTCATACAAGTTTTCAATCTTTCTACTTCTTACAAAATACTGTATTCCTAAACTTACTAGTGTCTCAAAAGATAGAGAGAAAAAAGAAATTGATTTAAAGGTTGTGTCAAGAATTCATTTGTAATTCGTTTGTGGTAAACGTGAAGAAAACAACATATATAGTTGTTCAATTGAAGATTTAAGAGAACCCTTATGACCCAAGGCAACTGGATGTAGGTTCCATATCGGTACACAAACCAGTATAAAAATCTCTATCTCTCATGTTTATTTTTATTGTTCTCCGTTACTTTTATTTCTTGTACTAACTTTTGTCTGCAGAACCTTGGTAGTCAACTAAGAACAAAGTTAGTCGACTAAAGAATTTTTACAATTCGCCCCCTTGTACTTTCAAGTTAGGGGCGTCAATAATAGCAACAACAATGATTTTGAAACACATAAACAAGAGCCTTTTGGGCAATCGAAGATGGAAGATGAAGTTCCAGATTCTCAAGCAGCAAAGACTAACCACAATAGTAAAAGTTCAGTTTAGAATTTCCCGAAGGTATCATCAAACTTTGATAGATTAATCACAATAAGAAGGCAAATGCATCAGAGGCTCCAATTGGGAATGAACAGATGGGTGCTAATCTGACTAGGCCAACATCAAATCAATTATAGAGTGCAATATCTATGTATCCACATGGTGCTGGGATTAGAATATCTACCATAGCTATGAATAGAAAAAACAATCTAGGTACTTCCAAACCATCTTTTCGGCTGATGTTCAGGCAAAGTTGGCAATTGGGAATTCAGGTAAAATCCAGTTTCAATCGAACATGGTATGCATCTTGGAAAAACGATTGTCTTTTTCATTGCTGTTGATTATTTTGTGAATATTTCTCAATATTATAAATTTACCGTTATTGGGAAGTTTTATTGGGGAAAACCAACGATGGATGACATAAGGAGAGAGTTAGTTAGTCAATTTCAGCTTAGGGGAACTGTTATAATTTCATATTTTGATTATTAGCATGTATATCTAGATTATGATAATGAAGTTGATTTTACTTATGTGGGAACTTGATCATTTGTGAATATTGGAATAGCCCCAATGAAAATCATGAAATAGACCCTAGATTTTAGGCCAGAAGTGGAAACATCTATTGTTCCAGTTTGAATATTAATACATCAGCTGCCATGGCATCTATTCAGGTGGGACGTTGTTTCTAGAATGGTAATTGCAATTCGGACTTTTGTAGCTCCTGATATGGCCACATATTCCAAGTCTAGAGGAAATACAGCTAAGATGAAAGTTGAAATTGACTTGCTAAAACCAAAGTTAGATGAGTTATGGCTTGGGTTCAACACTTTAGATGGCAAGGAAGGTGGGGTATGGCTGAATATTGAATATTGGGGGTGACCTTATCTATTGTCAATATTATTTCATGCAGGGCCATTTGGAAAGTCAATTGTAGAAATAAAATAAGGTATGAGAGGAACAAAGCTCAAGTGGAAGAAAAGCAGGTCAGTGCCAATGTCACAGAGGCGTTATGTTACGGGACTGGTTGGTATAATTGGATGTGGTCCTGAGTGGCTCGGGTGAGTTTCAGGCCATTTCTAGGCCATTTTTAATTGCTAGTTTTTGGCTACAACAGTGTGCATCGTGAGAATTTTCTGTTTTGCATAGGGTTGATTGTGGAAGCTTATATCTCGTAATCTATAAGGAATTTGGAGATGATCCAAAAATGAAAGTTGTAACCCTTTGAGTCTAGTTTCCAGAAATGTAAAACATTTATTATTTGGGCAATTTGTAAAGAAATTTATGATCAATTTACTGAAAACTGGTACTGCAGTTGTTTTGCCTGGCAGTGTACATCGTGAGAAAATATTTGCTGCACATGGCTGACTTTGGAAGCTTATATCTTACAATCTATAAGGGATTTAGAGATGATCAAAATATGAAAGTTGTAGCCCTTTGAATCTAGTTTCCAGAAAGATAAACCCTTCATCATTTGGATATTTGTACAGAATGTTATGATTGATTAATAGAAGGCTGATACTACAAATATTTGCCTGGAAATAATGAGACAAGTCGCATTTCACATATGCGACTTGCCTGGACAAAATGTAGAAGTCTGTTGTCCGACATTTTTGTTCATTTTTACAGTTTTAGGCCACGGTTTTGGACGATTGCCGAGAGATTTTTCAAAAGTTTGATTTGGGTAAGTATTCTTTATCTGAAATTAGTTATATTTCTTGATTTCATACTTATTTACATTATTAATTTCTCAAGAATATTCATAAATAATTTAGATACATTAAATACGAAGCCATAAACTTTCGAATCAACAGCCTTCTAAACCCACAAATTTCATAAACTTCCTAACCGCTAAACTTTCGACCCGCAAAATTTTGAACCCGTNAACTCAACTAAGTTGACTTTGGTCAACATTTTGAGCAAACGGACTCGGATCAGTATTTTGACAGATCCGGTAGGTCCGTATCGTGAATTGGGACTTGGGCATATGCCCAGAATCAAATTCCGAGGTCCCTAACCCGAGATATGAAATTTTGATGAAAAATTAAAAGTTTAAGTTCAAATAGTGACCGAATGTTGAATTATATGCAAACGACCACGGAATAGAATTTTGATGATTCTAACAGCACCGTATGGTGATTTTGAACTTAGGAGCGTGATCGAAATTTTATTTGGAAGTCCGTAGTGAAATTAGGCTTGAAACGGCTAAAATAGGAATTTAGAGTTTGGAAGTTTGACCGGGGAGTTGACTTTTTGATATCGGGGTCGGAATTCAGTTCTGAAATTTTCACAGCTTCGTTATGTCATTTATGACTTGTGTACAAAATTTGTGGTCAATCGGACTTGATTTGATAGGTTTCGATATCGAATGTAGAAGTTGGAAATTTTAAGTTTCATTAAGCTTGAATTGGAGCATAATTCGTGGTTTTAGCGTTATTTTATGTGATTTGAGATTTCAAATAAGTTCATGTGATGTTTTAGGACTTGTTGGTATATTTGATTGAGGTCCTGAGGGTCTCGGGTGAATTTCAGATGGTTAACAGATCAAAAATGAGAATTAAACAGCTGCTTCAAATTTTCTTCTGATGTGCAATTGAGCCCAATAATCGAAGGCCAAAAATTGAGCCCAGAAATCGAGCCGAGGACCGAAGGCAGGCTCGAGAGCCATGATCGAAGGCAAGCTCGAAGGCCAGTGATCGAAGGCCATAGAGATCGAAGCCAGGATCAATGGCTGTGATCGAGCCCCAGGGTCGAGGGCCATGATCGAAGGCAAGCTCGAAGGCCAGTGATCGAAGGCCATAGAGATCGAAGCCAGGATCAATGGCTGTGATCGAGCCCCAGGGTCGAGGGCCATGATCGAAGGCAAGCTCGAAGGCCAGTGATCGAAGGCCATAGAGATCGAAGCCAGGATCAATGGCTGTGATCGAGCCCCAGGGTCGAGGGCCATGATCGAAGGCAAGCTCGAAGGCCAGTGATCGAAGGCCATAGAGATCGAAGCCAGGATCAATGGCTGTGATCGAGCCCCAGGGTCGAGGGCCATGATCGAAGGCCATGACCGAGGTCCATGATCGAGGACTATGATCGGACGTCCCATGATCGGACTTCCCAATGATCAGACTTCCCATGATCGGACTCCATGATCGGACTCCCCATGATCGGACTCCATATGATCAGACTACCCTTAATCGGACTCCCCATGATCGGACTCCTATGATCGAGGTCCAGGATCAGACTCCATGATCGAGGTCACCCTGGACAGATCTGTAAGTTATAAAAACAGAGGGGCTTCGTCCCCTTTCGCCATTTTTAACAACTTGGAGCTTGAGCGGAGGCGATTTTTGATATATTTTCAAGGAAAAATATTGGGGTAAGTGTTCTTAACTCAATCTTGATTAGATTACCCGAATCCATCACTGTTTTTAACATTTAATTGGTGATTTAAGTTGGAAAAATTTGAAAACCCTCTTGGATAGATTTGAGGATTTGATGGTCGAATCGTTATTGGAATTTAGTCATTTTGGTATGGTTAGACTCGTGGTTGAATGGACGTTCATATTTCGTAACTTTCGCCGGATTCCGAGACGTGGGCCCCACGGGCCATTTTTGAGTTAATTTCGGATTTTTATTGAAAAATGTAGTATTTTCTTATAGAATTAATTCTATAATTTTTGTTGACTGTATCGAATTAATTATGACTAGATACGAGTCAACCGGAATCAGAAAATCGAGGAAAAAGCATACTACTTGGTTAAATTGGAGCAAGTCGAGGTAAGTGACTTGTCTAACCTTATGTGGGGGAAATTTTCCCTAGGATTGGTATTAATTGTAATGTGACGAAAGTCGTGTACACAAGGTGACGAGTGTGTACACAGACTAAATGTGAAGGATTATGTTTTTAAATTGTGAAGATCACTGTTGCATATTGATTAAACTATTAAATCTTGTTATATTCTCCATCATTGATTTGATTTGTATACTTTAAATTTGCTTGATCTTTTACTACTAATTATTTTACCTGTTTAGTTGAAACTTGATTTCTTTTATTCTGTGCATTATTTGAAATTTATTTTCTTTAATTTAAATATTATTAATATGAGGTATTTGACATTTTAAATTTGGTATTGAAGCAACGTATTAGAGATTTTGAAATATTATTTTGCTGAATTATTTATTCCTGAATATTTGTGTAAGATTTTCGTACTCATTGTGATGGAGCTGTGAGCTCTTTATTGTGAAAAAATATATATTATTGATAATTTACTTTGGCATGAGCCGTGAGCTCTTTATTGTAAAAAATATTGTTGTTGAATTATGATGGCAAGTTAAATTATTTGAGCACTTGAGGTACAAATTCTGATATATTGTGATATTGATACGCATGCGGTGGTATAAGATTCGGGTATTGAAACGCATGTGGTGAGATAAGGGTGGCTTAATACGCGTGGCTAGTAGGGAAAACTACTAGAAGTCATGCGGTGTGATAAGGGTGGCTAAAATGCGGGATGCTATTTCGGAAAAAATAATTTCTTTAAAATTAAATATGAAGGCTCCCGTGGTGATATAAGAAAATGAGATATTGTGAATTTATTTATGATTTGGGACTACGAGGCGATACCTCGGGAGTGCCCTTGTTGATATTGATTTATGGCCGTAGCTACCCTTATTATTTGTTGTGATTTTCTTGAAATTAAAAGGAAAGTTTGTTTTGTTTCCACGAGATATTAATTGCAATTATTTGGTGTCATTAAATATGACATACTACTTGATTCATTTCCATAGTCATTTTATTTTATTATATTGTTAAATATTTTACCATAAAATTATTATTTTCCAGTAGGGCCTAACCTGACCTCGTCACTACTCTACCGAGGTTAGGCCCGGCACTTACTGCGTACCGCTGTGGTGTACTCATACCATGCTTCTGCACATCTTTTTGTGTAGATCCAGATACATCTTACCAGCCTAGATGTTAGTGAGTTACCTGCGCACAGAGATTTCGAGGTATATCTGCCAGCGTCCGCAGACTCCGGAGTCCCCTTCTATCATTTTTATGTTGCTTCCTTATTTTCTTTAGGCTCTGTTATATAGAGACATTAAGGATAAATTCTTAGAAGCTTGTAACTTATTTCTACCTGGTTTTAGGAGTTGAAATTGTTTGAATTGTAGTTTATTTATTCCAGATATTTATTATTTTTCCGCATTGATAGGCTTACCTAGTTTTAGAGATTAGGTGCCATCACGACATCCTACAGAGGGAATTTGGGCTCATGACAGGTGAGTGAGTGGGGGTGTGGGGTGGGTTGGTGACGGTGGGGAAGGTTGAGAAGGAATTTTGGAAAATGTTTTCCCTTCTCTTGATAAGGAAAGTATTTTCCTCCAATGGGAGGAAAATGAGTTCATAAGAAAAATATTTTTCAAAATATTTAAACCAACCAAACATCAGAAAATTGGATTTCCTTCATAGCAAACACACCCTAAGTCTCTTTTGAATTGTGAATAATTTCTAAAGGTTCAATTGAATTGTTGGCCAATAAACGGATATGTTTGATTGGGTTGGATACTAATTCGAAAGGAAAAGTTGTGGTCGAGTGATCACTTGAATGACAAAGCAAGTTAAGTGTCGTGGTTAACCTTGACTTGAGGGAATAGAACCCTTGAACTATATATTATGTGAATTTCATGTGTAATGATGTATAGGCGAGGTGGCGAGTGTCAATACATCGTCAAATTGCTTGTTTCCTTGTTTATCCCTATTTCATAAATTGCTTTATTTCATTACTTAATTATTTTATTAATTATTTCTCTTATCCTTATTGCTTAATATTATGCCCTGAATTCATGCTTTAAGTGATACATGCATATTTGACTTATGTGTAATAATTTCTATTTGACATTTGCCATTATATATATAATTGTCTAATTCCTCCATGATTCCACATTTATTTGCTACTTGTCTATGCTTGTTTCCTAAATAAATCATAATTATTGTATGCCTTGTTGTCTTATAGTTTTGTATTAATTTTTGCATTGATTGAAGTAATTTCATCCATAAGTTGAGAATTGATATTGTCTGGGGAGTGGGTTGCACGCCGCAACAGAGATGAGAATAATTATATTGTGGGATCGATTTACACGCCGCAACAAAATTAATTTTGAAGAGCTATATTGTAGGATCGGGTTACGCGCCACAACCGAATTGATAAAAGAAATAATTCATTGTAACTATCGAATTGACCTTGATTGGTTATATGAGATACATGCCTTACTTTTATTCATGTCTTATTATTATTATTATTATTATTATTATTATTATTATTATTATTATTATTATTATTATTATTATTATTATTATTATTATTATTATTATTGTCATTCTCATTCTCATTCTCATTCTCATTCTCATTATTATTATTATTATTATTATTATTATTATTATTATTATTATTATTATTATTATTATGATTGTCATTATCATTATGGTTGTCATTGTCATTCTTATTGTCATTGTCATTCTCATTATTATTATTATTATTA